GGGCTGGATTGGAAAAGGGTTACAGCCAAACCAGCTCCTGCCTGCTTTAGGCTGATCACAGCCCTCATGCAGCAGGAGTGTGCAAAGAGCAGTTTGACCTGGCCACTGCCACTGTTACAGCAGCACCTACATCACAGCACCTCTGACGAGGGCTGGTGGCATGCCCACTGAGAACCGCTGTTTTAGAAGTAAAGAGAATATGCACAGTCCATGTTTGTTTGAGCCAAATTTAGCAGAAAATATTTTTATTGTGTAATACATTGGCCGACCCAAGGTCTGTTGAAGTCATTGGAAAACTTACCATGAATTCAGTAGGCTTTTGAATCAAACCCCTAGTTCTGAAAAGCTGAGATGGAAGGTAATCATTAATCACACTAGATGCTGTTAAGTATAAATAAATAACCTTTTTAAATTCTTTGCATCTTTAGGAAGGCAATAGCCCACAAGGCAGCAACCAGGGAGTCAAAATCACTCCAGACCAACAAAAGAAAAGCAGCTTTTTCCGATGTGTTCTTCTGTGAGGGACACTGCCTTAATTTGAGCATCTGCTCAGTTGAACTGGACTGTGCCTGTTCTGAGTGAGATTTCCTCTATCTGTGGATTTAACACCTTTCGACATACCCTGTCACACTGTGACCATCAAAATAAGACCGAAAAAAATGTTTATTTTAGTAATTGTCTGATTCTTCAATTTTGGAGATGAAACAAGCTTATTTTTGTCACGTTGCCATTTGGCATCTACATTGTTTAGTGGAAGGGGTACAGATCAGATGTGACCTGCGATAGCACCTTTACTGACAGGCTTCATTCTTTGGGATGGGGTTTATATCTGTAATGTCTAACATAGAAAATTAAGTTATGATCAAAATAACTCTAAATGGCTTTACACTGAAATGCCAATATTAATAAACTAATTATGTGTACATGATACATGTGCATATAAATGTCTGTAGATACATATAGAACAATCATTTTGAAACATCAAATAAATGCACTTCTGTAAACATAATGGGGGTACACGTTTCAAAAGCTATGCAGGAGGTGTCTGCATATCCCTCATTTGGTTGCCACAGAACATCCTTTGTCTACCTATCTCTAGTTCAGTTCCTGAAGTCTACAATTAAAATAAACAAAATATCTCTTCAAAAAGTTTTTGAAACCAAAGCATGTTGTAAATAGTGTACATTCTCAACATGAGGCATTTGGAGAGAAGCTTTATTTTCCTGTGGTAGATATGACCACACATAATACATTTGATTATTTAGGTATCTTTAACTGGAGAGAATATTTTACATCTGTGCAGTCTACCTGTTGGAAATACAGGCCATGGTTCAGATCTGTAGACCACTACATCAAAAATCACATCATCATGATGGACAACATAAGGTGTGTGTTTTGTGCATGGTTCTTTTTTCCTTGTTTAATTTCATAGTTGAGGATGACCTCAAATCTCATAGAATTGTGATTTCCAGTTTCTGAAAATAGGTTATCAAACTGCATTCCAATCATGCATGTACATGTGCACATTTGCTCACATATGCAAAAGCACACTGCATACACATACTTCCTGAAAATTCATGTGTATAAATGACATTTTCTTCCTGCCCTGCAATGGTTACTTTACAATTTAAAGCAGCAGTGAACTTCTTGTATTATGTGCAGCATTGTAAATACTGGGATATAAGAAGCAGGTGTTGACTCTTAAAACCATACTTCTCTATAATGCATATTTTATTCTTGCAACACCTGTGCATAACGTTCCGGTGACTAGTATTTAGCAGCTAACTAACACAAGTTATTATGCAGCTAGTTGCTTTCAAGTTACTGGGTATAAAAATCAATTTTCCCTAATTAGATTGGGGGAAAAAGACAAGTCTAACCTACTTGGAAGCCTGCTGTCATCGTCAACCACTCGGCATAATAGTATATTTGGAAAGAATGAACTTATTGGCAATGTTCTGAATCTCCCTGGCACTGTTAATGTGCTTTGTTTACCTTGACAACTGCATTTAAAGGGAAATGATTAAAGTTAATGTTAAAATTAGTTAACTCCTTCATATTGTGTCCTTCAAATTTGTGTGAATATGCCCCAGCCTCATTTCTTGTAATAGTACTTGCAAGTCCTAGGTCTGTCAAGTAGCTTCTGTATAAAAAGTAACTCTGTAGGTATATGTACCTAACAAGAGCTCTGTCTCGGCCTCAGGCCGAATACATGAGGAAGAAACTTCATTCTTTGGTACGTCTACCATGTAACTGAAAATAAGTTTATAGCTAATGGCATATAAAAGGATTTTCTTTCTTAGGGCTAATGGATTGAATGTTTTAAATGAGCTATCCTGTTCATTAACAAATTTTTATGTACCAAACTATTCTGCAGAAAAACCTTACAGATTTTTTTTCTTTTTTAAACGAGTTTTTGGTGAATGCGTGCAGCCATCTTCTGCAATGGGTTGAGATGGTTTTAAAAGTAAAACAATTCAATCATGCCAACGTATTTAGGGACCCTTTCAGTCTGTGCATTTAATGTTATAGCTAATGCAAACTACAGCATAGGCAATAAAGATTTTTTTAATCTGTATATTTTGTATAATTGAGAAAGGAGGAGTTCAGGAATAGTTTTGATAAATATATTAAAGTGTTTAGAGGCAATGGTTTGTCTGGATGGTATCTTATTGCACCAACTGCGTGGCTGGGACAGACATAAGACAGGCTTTCAGGTATCACAGTACCCTTCCTCGGGTCTCTGGGAGAGAAGCAAACACAGCAGAGCTAAGTAGCTAGTGTAAAACTCCATGTATAGACAGAAACAGGGTGTAAGATAAAGTATCAGGTAGCCAACAGAAAAGAGAGAAGCAGTGAAAACTTGAAAATGGAGGAACAAAGTAATTCAGGAGGATCGTTATCACCAGTGAAGTGCAGAGATTTGGCAGGTATCAGCTAAATCAGTGGTGGGGGGCAACTTTTTTGGCAGACATGCCACAGATTACCCAGGCACCCTCTCCAAGTGCCACTCCAATCCCCTTCCTCTTCCCTGATCTACTACGCTTTGTGCTTCCTGCCCTATCTGTTGCTGTGCCGCCTGCCCCCTATGCCATTTGTGGTACACATGCTCCAGGCTGGACACCCTTGAGGTAGATTATAATGGACCATGAAATCATTTTCTGTGTGCTGAAAATGTTTAGCTTTTGAATTGGTCGCAAATGATTAATGTTCACCCTCCATTATCAGTGCACCCTGTGGTATTGAAAAATAGCTGGTAATCCAATATGCTGCACTACTAGATGGTCTTTTACTGACAGCATCCATCTTCAAATTTGCTGTGATAAATGGTGGGAGGGCAGTGAATATTTACTTGCAAATAGGAAGGTTTGAAGGATGGAATTCTGATCTTCGCTATGCATATTATTGACACTAAGATAGTCCTCTTTAAACTAAAATTTTCTTGTGCCATGCCCTCCCCATGTGAATATCCTTTATTTACATTTATGTTGGTCGTTGCACGTGTTTATATGTCTATTTAGTAGGATTGTGATTTCCTTTTCATAATGAAACCACTTTCCTTAATGGACAATTATTGTTGCCCATTTGGTGGAAGTGTTATCCAGTTATTGCAAATTTTATGTTAACGTGAGTGCTATGAAAGCATAATGACCAAAATTTGAGTTCTGCTACATCAGGTTTTGGAACACTGAAAAATGTATTGGACTTCCTAAGAGGAATAAAGTGCAAATGAGTAACTTGTAACTGTAAGAATGGTTTAGCAATAAGGTTGGTCTTACTTCAGAACCAAGTGGACTGCTTCACTTCTTATTATTTTATATATTCCCTTGTTCTGAGCACCCAGTTTTAGCCTCTTGGAGGAACCTGTCATAATGTCTGTTAATTTCACCTGTTCCAGCAAGAGCATTAAAGCTACAAATCTTGCAATTTAACTGATTTCTGTATTAAATTATAGCTGTTTTGTTAAATACTGTTTGATTCAGTCCATGACTTCAGGTGCTTGTTTACTGTGCCATCACTTTAAAATCTAATTAACAGGATATGAAATAACTTCATAAACTGAAATTAATATTTGAAAACAAAACTTTAGTTATGCACCTGGTATTTATAGACTAATTACCAACTTTGTGCTAAGTTCATAAAACTGTCCCCCAGTAGTGTTGTGGAAGATGTCATTCCAGTCAGTCTCCACTTTGTTACTGGTCTTTGCTTTTTGCACTCCCTGCTGTTTTGTAATATAAGCCTGTGTCCACCTCCGTCTGTGTGCCTGACATGTCCATGTAAAAACTGATACCTACTAACTCAACAACAGTTGGTATTTCTCAATCATAAAATGACTGTTTCAAATTTGTAAATAATAGACTACAGACTTCCATGCATCTGCTACTGTACAAAGTACTGGTTCAAAAATTATTCTGCAACTAAATGTATTAAGATGGCGTTGATATGTAAAATCTAGTTGCTTATAATTGCAGGAAGTGAAACACCGGTGAGTATATACAAGTATCTGTGGTAAACTGGGTTTTGTTTTTTGTTGATTTTATGCCCAAGAAAATTTCTCACCCAAACAACTGTCCTATTACTTAAAGGTATGAATTTTAAGATGGCCAAGAGAAACTCTTCTTAGGTGTTCATTTCAGAGAACAGGGTTCTGGCACCCAAACCTTAAGCGACACCCCCCACCCCCGTCTCATAGTACCTTTCCTCCTGCATAAGTTCTACTTTCTTCTTTGAGCCCTTGCCACTTCTCACCTGCAGGCCAGCATGCTTATTGCCAACAGTAGCAGCTCTGCTGCATAATCACTGAATTACTGAAACCTGTTTTGCTCCTTCAGAGTGCTTAAACTATCGCATTCTTCTTTCTTTGTCTGACATCCCATTAATTATCCCATTGGTTGCCTATAAAATAGATTAGAAAAATTGGTGCTTTACATTTCCACTGTATTTGACAACACAATTTTAATTTAATTACAGTATATGGTAGTGTTAGTGATGTTGTAGCTATGATGGGCCAGGGATTATGCAAGAGGCAAGGATTTCTTAGGGTGATATGTTTTCTTGGACCAGTGGCATAGTTGGGATAGAGTTGGACAAACTTTTGAATGCAAGATATGCTTTGTCATTCGTCGTCAGGTCCTGATGAAGCATCTTGCATTCAAAAGCTGGTAGTAAGTGCAATAAAAGATGCCACTAAAAAAAATCTTACCTGTTGCAGTATCTGGCAACAATACAGTGCAATTAACGTATTATTGTCAATTAGTTGAAAAAGGTTTGTGAGATAATCGGCTACAAACGATACCAGATCCTGACAACCAAAAATAATGATGTTCATATTGGTAAAATGCAAGATCATGTTTTGCAACCCACAATAAATATGCCCGCTCTTCCATCGTGTTACAGCTGCTGCTATTCAGTAATGACCAGTTGCTCCCGAAGGAAATCATGGTTATGTTACACTTGTTTCATAGTATCATAGTGCTCAGGGTTGGAAGGGACCTAAACAGATCATCAGGTCTGACCCCCTGCCCCGGGCAGGAACAGGTGCCAGGGTCATACTGCCCCAGCCAAGTATTTGTCCAGCCTCCTCTTGAAGACAAAAGAGGAGGAGTTTATTTGTCAGCATTAGTCTTGGCACACTTATCTGTGGATACTGATAACACACCTTTCTTATTTGTATTCAACGCGTATCCTTTTTTGAGCCTGATAACACACAACCACTGTCCCGCACCCTGCCTTGCTCTCTACACCGCAGTTGGAAGGCTCTGATTTCCCAAAAGGCAGCACAGTCTCTTGCTCCATCTGGAATAACTGTAAGTCTCAATTATTATGTTCTTTGTTACCTATTAAGGAATACTATAGTCAAGTCCTTAAATATATAAGCCAAATTCTTAATTGATTGGAGGGAAAGGAAACAGTTTCCATAGCTAGCTGGAAGTTGTTCAGTGACTTGGCAGCAGCAGCCCTGCATTCAGAAACGAAAGAGTAAAACTAAGTAAGGAAGTTTGGATGTCCTGCAATTGGTCTGAGAGGTTGCATGTTATATATGGCATTGTAAAGATCTTGGTCAAATCCACATTCCTGGTGCAGCATCACATGCTAATAAAGAGACGCAAAGAATTAGATTTGTAATATAAAGGGGACCATTTCCCTGGTCGCCTGCTGCTTTGTTGTGCATCCATAGCAGGTGCCGTAACTCTCAGCACTAGTAAGGAGTTGTCACGACACCCGGATGTGGAATAGACCGTGCTAGTTAACAAACTCCATCTATTAAATACTGAATTTCCTTATCACGAATCCTCATTACTGTACATGAGAGCCTTTCAAAATGCTTTTCCACTTTAGCTGAAGAGAGCCTTTATTTGCATAATATAGT